GGGAGGGGGGGAGGGGGGGAAAGACGAACCACACGCGATTTAAGCTGCTGCCAGAGCAAGATAGGGGGAGGGGGGGCGTACCCTGTACTTCAAATGTACGGCGTAACCCCGGGTACGTAACACGTAGAGTAGTACCATGCCATTTCCCACCTCCAAACCCCCTGGCCCTCCCTTTACCATTTTGCAAATTGGAAGCCCTCCGGCCCCCTCACAGGCCTCGGTGGCAGGCCGTGTCTCTAAAATGTGTGTGTATGTATGTATGTATGTGTCTGTGTTTTGGGACCTTCTCAGGTTTCGGAGCGCGGCGGTTACCCTGTGGTCCGCATGCCCATGAAGCAGTGGATGCTGCGCATCACCGCCTACGCGGAGCGGCTGTTGTCGGATCTGGAGCTGTTGGACTGGCCGGACAGCATCAAGGACATGCAGCGGAACTGGATCGGGCGGAGCGAGGTGGGTGGGAGTGGGGTGGGAGTGGGGGGAGGAGGTGGGGGATGGAGGGCAGGTTGGATTGAGGTCCACGAAAAGGGACAAGAAGGGAGAAACCTTGAAAACCGAGGACCTTCGGCCAAATTAAGCTGTTTCAGCTGAAAACACTAACCAGGTTTGAGTGGTGGGCGAGGGACAGGGTTGTGCTTTGCCACCAACAGCAGCAGCAGCAGCAGCGAAACTGGATGTCAGTGTCTCCGCTGGGGGCTGGGGGATAGAGATGTGGGGGGGGGTTGTGGAGTTTGGGTTTCAGTGGCGTTGGAAGGGGGGAGCGGGGTGGAGTGCGTGCGAGATGGGGGGTTTGAGGGGGAACGAAACGGCGTGATGCAAGGCTGTGTGCTAGGATTCTTCCATCAGTATACTACCAACAGCAGCAACTGCAGCAGCAACAACAACACCCCCATCAACAACAGTAGCAACGACATCAACAGTAGTTGCCGCCACCGCCGGAACAGCAGGAACTGCAGCTGCGGCGCGGAAAGGCGATGAGTGCCGCATTTGGCGTCGCATCTATCTATCTATCTATCTATCTCGCGGTTATGTTCAGTAACTCCGCCCTGACCATCCACACCCTCTTCCGCATCGCATTCTCATTGCAACCCGGCTATTCACCAACACCAACACCAACACCACATCAGCACCACGCCAACAACACTATCACCACACGCACAGCAACAACACCCACACCACCACACGCACACCAACAACACCCGCACCACCACACGCACCACCTCCCCTCACCCCTCACCACCCGGGCCCCCAGGGTGCCGAGGTCCGTTTCCAGCTCTCCGCCGGCCCGGGCGCCTCCCTGCCCGCTGACACCCACATCACCGTGTTCACCACCCGACCTGACACGCTGTTCGGGGCGACCTACCTGGTGGTGGCTCCGGAGCACCCCCTCGTGGGGCAGCTGGTGGGGCCGTGTGTGTATGTATGTATGTGTGTGTATGTGGNG